CGGTCACCCAGCCGTGCCGGCGCGGTGCGGCAGTGGGGAGTGGGGAGCAGGGCTGCCCGCCCGAGGGGTGCAGGCAGGAGAGGAGCGGGGTGACCCAGCTGGCTGTGGTGTTGAGGATGTGGCCCCATTGCTGCGGGTTGAACATCTGGGGGTCTGTGAGCTACCAGAGTTGGGGGTCGGAGTCTTTGTGGGGAGCAGGTCTCGGGGTCTGTCTGCCAGGAAGGTCGATGCTTGCTCCCTCCCCTGCAGCCCCTGACAGAGTGGTGCAAGGGAGATGTGGGAGCGATCTCCTGCCACGTCACACCCATGGTTTTCAGCTCATCTCCCATCCCTGGGCTATGGGGTTGGGACAATTGATTTATTGGACAGCCGGGACTTGTCAGCTGCCTGATCCTCACTGCTTGCACCTGCGGCCGGACCTGTTGCACCCCCGGATAAATCAAACCCTGCTGTGGGTGTCGGCTGGGACCGCCGACCCTTCCCGCTCCCCCGGATCTGCTTACACTTCCTTGCTTGCATTTAATCCTCCCATTGCGTCCCTGCAAAATCCCACTGGAGGTTAAAGGAAGAGCACTGCAAGCTGCTGACGGGGATGGCTTCATCCCCCATTGTCCCCTCCAGTTTTCCTCGGGCTTTCTGGGGTGCGGTGGTTCCCCAGGGAGCGTTTGTGGCCAATAATCCTGGCCAGGGGAAACCACAGCCCCCAGACCGCAGCAGGGGAGAGGATTTAGAAAAGCTTTTCAACCATTTTCCCCTTTCTCCTGCAGCTGTCTTAGATGTGAACTGCTGATAGAAAGGGTTTCCCGGCCACCGGTTGCGCTCCCTGCCTGCCCCGAGGTCGGATGCGGCCCGTGCTCCGGGCTCCCGGCCGCGGCGGGGAAGCCGCTCGGATGCTGATTGTGTTTGTCAGGGCGGTTGGATTAAGAGCACTGTGGCTAAGCCTCCTCGCCGAGGCTCCTCTCCAGCAAAGCCTGGGCAAGGGCTTTGCTCAGAAACCCACCAGAAAAGAGCGTTTTCTGGGGCTCTTTCTGCTGTGGCCCTTGGTGTGTGGCTGCGGCTGAGCGTGTGTCTGTGCTACGCCGGCGCTGTACGGTGTTTCTGAGGTCTGCGTGTGGGAACCAGGCTGACATTTGCAGCTGGTGCCTTTTAAATAACCACCGTGGTTTTAAAAGGCACCGGAGCAGCTTCTAAAAATCAGGTTAAAAGGAAGTTTGACTCCAGCTGTCACCGTGCCAGCTCTTGCGGGGTTTCTTTCTATTTTACCATCACGTTTCCCTTTTAGTCTTAGAAAAGCGGATGGTCTCGAGATCTTGTTTTGTGTTCTTGGACCAAAACGTGCTTTATTCTCCAGAGTGGAGCTGTCGGCTCTCCCACCGCTGCTGGGGATGTGCAGGGGTTTGCAGCCAGCACCCACTTGGGCGGGGAAGGCCCTGAGCAGGAGCACCCCCAGCTCCCAGCATCGCCCCAAACCCCCCAGCATCCTCCCCGCGGAGGGTTTGCTCCAGCAGCGAACCGGCAGAGCAGGATTCCTGCCTGCTTTCTGCCTCAGCAGCGGGTTTGTGGGGTGGGACGCTGCCTGCCCCGGTCCCGGCTCACACCTGGCTGCTCTGGGGGTCCGGCGCTGGCCCCCTGCCCGGGCTGGCGTTGCCTTTGTGCTTTGGGTGCTGTGAGGATGGACGCACAGTCCTGCCCGTCAGCCGCTGCTCCGGCGCTGGCGTCGAACCCTCTGGCTGTCACTTGCCTGCCCATCACCGTGGGAATGCGGCTGCCAGCGCCCACCTCTCCTAAAAGATGAGAGAAACGAGTAGGGAATGGGACAGCACGGCTGGGATGCTTGATAATGGGGTCCCAGCTCCCTGCATCCCTAGGGGCAGTACCCGGGCTGGGGAGCCTCCCTCTGCATAGGCGTGTTCCTAAAAGCGACGTCGCTGTGTGCTTCTCTGTTTGGACCTGGAGAAGAGCCCAGCCCCCAAATCCTGGTTTCGTGGTTTAACCTGGGGGCCGCAGCTCGGCACCAGGCAGCCGCTCGCTCACCCCTCCCCTTCCCCGCAGCGGGATGGGGAGGAGAAGCGGACAACAGGGAAAACCCACGGGCTG